ATATTATCATACTTCTATACCCAAATAATGCATAACATAAAAATTGAATATCTCTCTTCGGGCACGCCATCAGCAGCTCATATTTTCGATACGTTAGTTTCTCGATGAGAGTAATCATTTCATGCGGACAAGGTCAATCTAGCTGCTCACCAGTTCCCGACCTTCCATTGTAAGAAGCAATATATTCTGATTGGAAAGACACAAGACTAACAAACCGACAGAGCTTTATTTATTACATCCTCATTTTCAGTGACGAGAATTTCTTTCATGAATAAAGGAAGATTTTCTGGGGTTCGTTATGGAAATTTTTCATCAACAAATGTGTTGGAAGAAAGTTATTCAGAGTATAGTTTTCTCTCAAATCCTTTTTAAATAATTCAGTACACCTCGACGGAGCAACTTTGTTTGTTGAGATTTTCTTGCCGATCATATAACCCTCCCTAACAGACAGTTGATACACTCACGATTATATCCAGAAATTCTATCACCAGTTGAGTTTACACCGCTACCCATACTTGTTTTCAGCGAACATCGTTGACTTGATGGAGAATACGTAAAAGCAATACATCCAGAAGTTACTTGACATTGTGAACAACAGCTAGCATAATCAGGTTGTTGTACAGGAGAAGTTAATATGTCATTTCCAGGTATGTCCCAGGCGTCTTTACCTTCGAAACCATTACACCGGTTCGCTGTGGAAAGATAAATAAAAGACTAATGTTAATAGCATTCGTTGTGCAAATGTAGGATTTGAAAAAGTCATCATATTAACTGTGGTTCTATCATGCACTGTATTTTTGCTCGAATGTGTGTTGTATTCTTTCGTGTTTTCGTCGTCACTAGGCTGCTCATGAATCGTAAATACAAGTAAATCTGCGTGAGTGATACAAAAGCGAGAACTTTGAGTCTTTTTGCCAAATTCCTGGGTTGTATTCTCAAAACTTGAAGAAAAATGGCATGAAAGCTTCTCGTACTCTATAGCAAGACTACATGATAATGATCTTTCTTGATCTAAGGAGCAGATTGAAATCCAATGCAAATAGTTTCATTTTCTAGCCTGTTTTGCACTTTTTTGCTCTTCTATATTGCACTTCCTTTCTTGCTCGTTCAACTTTATTTCTCAAGAGAGAAAGGAGAATATTTTATCTTTCATGTTACCAAAGATTTGTAGCAAGAAAGAACAAGAAGCACCTAATTTGTTTTCTTGAACGACATATCTGCAAGAAAAGAGAAGAAGAACCTATCAATCAACATGTAAAGTGGTTCTGTACTTCGCTTACTCATTAATAAAAGTTTCTTCTATTGATTATATCTAAGAAGCAATAGATTCTGATTGAAAGGACACAAGACTAACAAACCGGCAGAGCTTTATTTATTACACCCTCATTTTGAGTAACGAGAATTTCTTTCATGAACAAAGGAAGATTTTCTGGGGTTCGTTGTGGAAATTTTTCATCAACAAATGTGTTGGAAGAAAGTTATTCAGAGTATAGTTTTCTCTCAAATCCTTTTCAAATAATCCAGTGCACCTCGATGGAGCAAATTTTTTGTTAAGTTTTTCTTGCCGATCATATAGCCCTCCCTAACAGACAGTTGCTACACTCACGATTATATCCAGAAATTCTATCACCAGTTGAGCTTCTACCACTACCAATACTTGTTTTCAGCGAACATTGTTGACTTGCTGACGAATACGTAAAAGCAATACACCCCAAAGTTGCTTGACATTGTGAACAACAGCTAGCATAATCAGGTTGTTGTATAGGAGAAGTTAATATGTCATTTCCACGTATGTCCCAGGCATCTTTACGTTCAAAACCACCACACTTATCCGCTTTGAAAGCATAAATAAAAGACTAATGTTAATAGCATTCATTATGCAAATGAAAGATTGGAACAAGTGATCAGATTCACTGTGGTTCTATGATTCACTGTGTTCTTGCTCGAATGTCTTTTTACTCTTTCCTATTCTGTCGTCACTCCGCTGCTCATGAATTGTAAATACTAGTAAATCTTCGCGAGTGATAAAAAAGCGAGAGCTTAGGTTCTTTGTGCCAAACTCCTGGGTTGCATTCTGAAAACTTGAGGGAAAGTGGCATTAAAGTTCATGTTACTCTGTGGTAAAACTATGCGAAGATGGCCTTTTTTGATGCAATGAATGGTTGACACTCAATCAGAATATTTTCATTTTCTAGTCGGTTTTTGGCTTTTCCCGCTTTCTCATTGTGTTCTCCCTTTCTTGTCCGTTCAACTTTATTTGGCAATAGAGAAAGGAGAATATTTCATCTTTCATGTCACCAAATGTTTGTTGCAATAAAGAACAAGAAACGCCTAATTTATTTTCTTGAATGGCATGTCTGCAAGAAAGGAGAAGAAAAACCTTCAATCAACATGTAAAGTGGCCCTTCGTTCCGCTTACCCATCAATGAAAGTTCTTCGTGTTGATTATATCTAAGAAGCAATAGATTCTGATTGAAAAAGCGCAAGATTGATAAACAGATAGACATTATTCTTTCAGACTCTCACTTTCAGTCAGGAGGAGTTTCTTGAATTGAGAAAGGAAGATTTTCCGGCATTGCATAAGGAAAATTTTTGTCAAAAAACATATCAGAAGAAAGTTGTTCAGAGTTTAGTTTTCTCTCAAATGTTTTTCGAATCATCAAGTAAACTTAGAGGAGCTAGTCTTGTTTATTGCAGTTTTCTGCTGATAACGGGGCACTTTCTAACAGAGAGTTAACACACTCACGATGATATCCAGAAATTTTATCACCAGTTGAGTTGCTACCAGTACCAATACTTGTTTTCGGCCAACATCGTCGCATTGATGGCGAATACGTAAAACCAGTACATCCAGGAACTGCTTGACATTGTGCGCAACAGCTAGCATAATCCCGTGCGTATGTAGAAGAAGATAATATATCATTCGTTAGTATTTCCCAATTGTCTTTACGTACGAAACTTGGGCAACTCTGACCTATTATAATTGAGAAAAGGAAATAGGTTTCAGAGCAGAGATTGATTTAGCTTAAAAGAGATATTGTCTTTTTTGAATGTCTGGGATACAGTTGAATTTAAATGTTAACAACAGAGCAGATATAGTGATAGGAGGTATCGTAATATAACACTAGTGGAAACTTTGACGGCTTTGAGTTGGATTTATGAATATGCAGCTGACCAGAAATTCAACCTGGTTGAAAAGCTGAAGGCTTGCATTTTAAATTCATGAACTTTAAGTAGTCACTTGAGACCATAATGTAAGGAGAAAATAGGTTTTCAACCGTTGTCATTGCACAAGGCGTTATAACTCTGTTCTATGTAGGATTGCACTCCCACAACAGGACTTTTGACGTGCTAATTGACCTCTGAACAAGCTTCAACCTACGTAGCTGCAAGAGAGATCTGTTGATTATACGGTAGAAGTTTACCTAGTCCAGATTGTTATGTGTAGTTCTTGGGAAACATAAACTGTGTAAGCTGTGTTGTAGATGCTGTTCATTCCATTGCAGTCGTGCAAGACTCCGAAAGTTTTTGAGAAGTAGTAAGAAATTCACTTTCGTAATATCACATTAGGGACTATTCGGAATCGCGTTGTGGTCTCTGGTGTGTAGGGAGAGTTTTGTTCATTAAATTTATTAAGATTGTTTTGATGGATATTTTGTTAATAGAATTATTCTAATGCATGTTCTCCTATAGAAACTGTCATTGATATCAATAAGTCTAGTTGAATAGAGGAACGTATAGCTCACATCAACGCCCACATCAGCGTTTCTTCTTTACTTCGAATATGCGAGTCGTCTAGAATATTTACTCTGTTTTCGTTTATATTCGTTAGGGTTGTAGAGCTCAACCTTACGAGCGCTCATGGACCTGAGCTGTAAACTCTCACTATCGATCAATTAGATGCGAGGAAGTTGTTTCTTGTCTACTGTAAGGACAAGACGTATTGCTGTTGAGATCAGATGGAGAACGGTCATAAAAATCCTCTCATTAGACCGAACAATACTATGTTTTCTTCTTAAGGGGACCCCCCCCCCCCTCAGAAACGATTTCTCACTTAAAACGAATCATTTGGGCTGAAACTTTCAGGAACAAGTGGTCCTGGTAAGATACGCTTGTGTTAAAAATTTCATCTCGATACACTCGAGTAGATCGAACTTACGGCCTGTTTTCATACTCCCAGGAGAATGAGAATCACTCAGTCGTAGTAAAGGCTAGAGAGCTCAGGGTGGTGTCAAATTAAAGCTAATCTCTGTGCGCAACTTTTCATCAGACGGATTTTTGAAACTCCTTTCCATTCATTTTTTATGACCATTTTACTGGGCAGGTCTGAAAAACACATCACTCGAACGACAGTAAATTCCACTTTTCTCAGCCTAGGAGAAATGGATCAAAAATCCGTCTGATAAAAAGTTAGCCTTGATTCAGAGCTTTAAAACAAAAAAAAAATATTGAATAATACCCAAGGCCGGGATGGGGTGATTCCAATTTTCCTGCTGAGAAACCATATTCTGAGAAAAATGCTAAAAAATTTTTAGAAATGGATTTTTTCATTCAAATCCAGAGCAAGCCATATTACAATGGTATATTCCATTGCACCATTTTAAAGGACGTAAAATATGAAGGTAGCTAGCGCTATCTGACGTGCTGGTTCATATAAAAATATTCTATTCAATAATAATGCAAGTGGGAGCGCAATTTTTCTGAAACTGAAAACCTTGAAAAACCATGGAAATTTCTCCGAAAACATGGTAGTCGATTTAAAGTTTCATGCGATAAGTCTTTGAAAATCTGATCATTTTCCAAAAAACTATACATATTCTGAAAGAGGAAGCTTCGCTGCATCTTCCTATGATAAAAGCTCAACTTCGATATTTTCCTGAAAAACTTGATTTTCTGAGGAGGGGGGCCCCCTTAAAAGAGAAGAAAGAAACTCTGTTGAAATCTGATTTACCAAAGAATAGAATTATTCGAGCCGATCAGGGGGTTTCGGTGGTTCTCTTTCATATGGTTCGAAAAACAATATGTTTTGTTCGTACAATAGCTGAGAAACAGCTTTCACGCATCTGATTGCTCCATAGTGGGAGTGTACAGCTGAGGCTCATAAACGCTCACGACGTTGAGTCCTACAATTCTAATGAATATAGGCGAAGACGGATTGAAACGTAAAGGCGACTTGCATATTCGAAGTATTGAAGAAATGCTCGTGCCCATGAGCGACTCATGAGTGTGAGCGTGAGCTGTACATTCGTAGTTTGATATGACAAAGAAAACATGTCTACGGTCAATTCCTTAAATAAAAGACATACAGGAACTCGAAAACATCTGTATCGACTGCTACAGAACAATTTGTGCCTTTAGCTCACTAAGCAATCGTCTACCGAACCTGACTAGTGATTTTCCGTTACCGGTTAAAACTTTAATTTATTGTATACTATTTATTCTCATTTCGCATTTAGATACCTCAGGGAAGCTAATAATGATGGAAAAGAGAAAAGTCCATACTTCGCTTAAACTTCATCGTACTCCAAGGGTATGTCAAATCTATCCTTTAGAACTACTTACCTATACGAAATCTACTATCAACGTTGGCCACCAGTATATTACTTTGAGTTCATTTTATATAAGTCTTTTTGACATTAAAGTCCAAAGACTTGATTGTACTTCAATATTTGAGTATCAATGAAGTATGATGAACTATTTGGGCTTTAATGCTAGACAGGTTTATATAAAATTAGCTCAAATCTATATTCATGCAATTTATTTCTATAGTAGACTTGATGTTGACACAGCCAAAAGATTATAAAGGATGAATCTGGCACACCCTTGAAGTATTTCGAAGCACGATAACGAACGGAATCGTCATGTTTTCTTTCTCAGGAAAACCTTATCCATTTTAGGTTCAAATTTTGCTTCAATTTTTACTGTAGAAATGTCGCAAGTGATCGTGTGTCCTTCTTTCTTCAACGTGTTACACATTCTTTGAGCATTTATCATCTGGAAATAGTATTCATTAAGGCTAACGAAGGAAGTTTGAAATAGTGCTGCTAAGAATCTCCTCTCGTGGAAGCAATAAATGTGTAGTTTATGAAAAGTGCATTGCAGACAACCTCGCATGATCAAATTCCTCACCATCTCAAACGTGTTCGTAGTCACTTTTTGCATATCGAAATCATTCATTGACACTAACAAATCTATGAAATAGTTAATATCATATATGCCGTTCACTACCCTTTCGCGACGGCATATTCTGAGGTTCTATAATCCATGCGTGGCATGTAATTATATGTGACTATCTTTCCCTTATTTAAATAAACTTCAAGCCGTTATTATATGTAACAAAATGCTAGTATTAGCGAGAAATCTTTGAATAAGACAAACGGGAAAATATCTTGCAAGTAAAACATCTAGAAAAAATAAATTTAATAAAACTCAGATTGTTTAAGACTTTCCTAAATTTGCTTTTCATATCTTTTCCTAGACTTTTTTCGCTACTTAGCGCTTTTTGAAACTAGATCTTTTTTATTAGTAGATTTTTTAACTCTAGATCTTATGATATATGTCATTTTGGTTGTACGAAGTGTAGCTTGAATTGGTGTAAGAAATGCTAGTGCATTGCCTCGGCACAAGGCATACTATTTTTACATATTGGAACCCAGTTCCATTCACTATTTGCACTTCAAAATTTGGCTGTCTTTTTGATACAGTTCTAAGGAATCAAAGTGTACTCGAAACTGACTCAAAAAAATGGAAATATAACGGTTTTTATAAATGTGGCCCATTGACATGGAACAAACAAGTCTTTGACGTTTAACCGTCTGTCGTCATTGAGTTGAAAAGAAAATCAAAACGCATACCTGATGTATTATGAGTAGACTTTGATCCAAGAGTAGAACCGAGAACAACTGCTAAGATTAACATTGCTGTCAATATGCTGACTGGAATGATGAATTGTTTCTTGTTATACCAACGACGTCTTGATAATATAACAAAATGTTACATCAAAAATATAATTAGATGAAGATGTATCGAGACTTACTTAGTTTTTTTTGGATAAAGACATGCACCTATATATATATAGAAATATTTCAATTCAAAACAAATCATTTAGATTATTCAACATGTTTTACGATGGAGTTGTTTGTGTTGTTAGTTAAGGAAATTAGATATATTCGGATCAAATTGAAGCTCTGATCGCCAAACTTACAAATCTAAAATGTAGGTTGCTGTTAGTGTGCATCGACCGAGATATTCAAGTTTCAAGATATATACAGTGTATGTCAGATGGCCTTTATCCAAAATTTCAGCGGAAATTTTTTCTTTTGTTTTCTTGATGAATCGGATAGAGCTCGTCGAGTTACATCAGAAAAAATATTTCATATTTTTAAAAGAGCATTTAAAAAATCTTAGACAAAAAGCTCAAGTTACCACGATTTCCAAACATAATAGGAAATAGACCCGAAATTCACACCTTCCTATATTTTTTTAAAATATGAAACATTTTTTCTAACGTAACTCGAAGAACTCTATCCGATTCATCAAAGAAAACAGAAGAGAAAATTCAGCTGAAATTTTGGATTGTAGCCATCCGAAACGCACTATACAGGGTCGGAAAGAATATTATTCAAGGAGGGTAACGATATAATCCCGAATAGGAGGTATGATAAATTTTATATCAAATGAAAGCCCGTGAAAAATGGGGTTTTTTGATGTTAAATAGTAAGGGTTATGTAAACCTTTTAATATCGAACTTAAGAAACTTTCAGAAATTTTATACATTTTTGGGAGTAGAAAAGGAAAGTGCTAGTAATTCAAAAATGGAGTA